GACATATTTGAAGGGCATGTCAGGATCTGGCGGAAGGCCATCCTGGGCCGGAGGAGGAGGTGGGCAGCGGGCTATTGCCTCTGCTATCTGGGAGTGCGCAGCTAGCCGCCCACAGCCTGCCAGCAGCCTCTCGGCATGTGTACCGCATCTGAGGAAGGCCATCCTGGACCGGCTTGGCAGCAAGCGCCAGAGGGACATCGCCGCCGGTTCCGTGTGTCCGGGCCCTCCCCTTCGAGGACGCTGACCGGCCCTTCTCCTACGCGCAGCGGCTCCTGGATGCAGCGAGCCGTTGGCTCCAGCCGGGTGTGCGCTCCGCTGAGGAAGTCGTCGGGCAGGTGGCGCTGGAGCAGTTAATCGCCGGCCTGCCATCTTCGACGGCGAATTGGGTCCAGTGCCATCGCCCCGCCAAAAGCAGCCGTCGTCCTTGCGGAGGACCACCTCTCGCTTCCCCGGCGGAGCATGAAAGAGGAGCCCCGACCACCAGCCGTCTCAGCGGGCAGACCCGTCCCAGCCCCCGAGGACAAGGTTCCTGGAGCAGCTGCCCTTCCCTCCCCACCATCACACGGCCCCAACCCCGCAGCCCCGACACTTTTCCCCCTAGCTCTACCTTACCCTCCTGTTTTTATCTCTCCCCAGGGTCCGGCCTACGCTTCTGGTCGTCCGGCACCACGGGGGGCTCCTCAGACGTCAGGGCAGGATTGCTGGCGGTGCGGGCAGCCCGGCCACTTCCGACGGGAGTGTCCTCTCATGGAGGTCGGACAGCTGGTTCGGGTTGCAGGACCGTCAGTTGCCGCCCCCGATTTGGAAGGGACGTACCGTATACCGGTATGGGGGTACACACCAGGCTCTGATGGACACGGGCTGTAATCAGACGATGATCCATCAGCACCTGGTTCGGCCTGGGGCATTGATTGAAGCATCGTGGGTGAAGGTGAGGTGTGTGCATGGGGATATTCACCAGTACCCGGAGCTGACGCTGGACATTTCTTATAAGGGGAAAAAGCATAGTCAGGGCTGGAGTTAGCACTCGCCTTACGCACCCTCTGATTTTGGGAACGAATTGGCCGGGGTTTGCTAAGCTAGCGGGGGCTATGGGGGTGCGTTCACGGACGGCAGGGAAATGTGAGTTGTGTGCTGTGTTTAGTGGAGAGTCGGAGGCGGCTGACGACATCGAGGGGGAAACGGACACGGAGGGGGCCGCGGAGGTCCCTCTGGACCCGCTGGTGTTTCCCGTGGAAGATTTAATAAACGCCTGTGTTCCACCAACCTGCTCTTTCCGTCCCTATTTGAACCCTGAGTGAGCGGAGAGGCTCACACAAAGGTATGACCAAGTTTATGTAAGTATTGTAGAGACATACTGTAAGCCCTTAGACACAAAACTGACTAACTGTAACCGTCTCTAGAACAAAGGCACGTACGTTTCCGACATGCTATATATACTAAAGCTTTCTTTTTTATTTTTTCTCCAATATTTATGTAAATGAATGATCAGGTGATCAGGATCCGGACAAGAGGCAGCATCTGTCTAATAACCTCTTGCACCATTTTCTTTTCTTTACTGGTGCCAGTTTAATCATGGATCCAACATTTTTATACTCGCAAATATAAAGATGATTATTGTAAAAGTATTTCATTGTGTTTTCTGAGGGAAGAACACTAATGTTTGTTGTCCACAGCTCACGTTAAAATGACATTCAACTGCCATTAAAATGTTGCTTAATAGGGTTTCCTGACAGTTCCAACAGGAAAACATATTTTTGTGTAACAGTATCAAACTCAAATATGGAACATGTATTTAAACCAGAGAAAAAGGGGCCTATTCGCTAATAAGTAAAGCTGGGACCAGAGAATATTTGTCATTTCTGCTTGCTTAGCTACCTAAACGGTTCAACAAAAAGTCAGTATTCACTATGGGGAGTGGATGATCCCTTAACCTTCTCTTTCACGAAGGTCTGATGAACCCACTTTGCTTCTGTTTATCAGCCGGGTTTCAGACGCTGCTGCCAAGAAGTTAGCAGACTTTTTTGAGGACACCATGGCAGACAGAGCGTTTGGTTGACTTCAGTTAACTGTCACAGGAAGTCCCAAGGCCTCCTGTTGACCTATGTTTTGTTTATTTGGATATTTGAATTAAGACCTTGAAAGCTAAATGTATTTAACAGGGTTCCTTCTAAATGAAAAGATGTAATTGCACAAAAAACCTATGTGAAATGAAGGGGGACTGCAGGCTTAGAGCAGAGGTTATATTATTGGTAGTGTTAGTAAAACTCTGTACTTCACAGCAGAATACAGATGGTTTGAAACTCTATATCAATCACTTGGGGGGATTTATCCACAGACAAAACTAAGTTTATAGTAGAATTTGAGGCAGTGTTTGTCCGCAGCATCGCCTCCTCAGAAGCTCCAGCCTCCACAACAACAGCTGGAGACGGACAACAACAGAAGACTTGCTGGAGGTTCTTTGACTGCTGTGGAGTATGTTTTAGAAAAGAAAAAAAAAAGTGTGTGGCTGTATTATTGGACCTAGACAGTTCTTGTTTTCTCCAGCAGAGATTACGCAGAGTTTCTCCGGCTGCTAACGACGAGGGAGAGCAGAGAACCCCTCAGAAACCTTGCAGGAGGTAACAAGACTCATTTCACGCTGACAGTGTTTATCGGCACAAAATACACTGAACTAAAGAATTACAGCCTGTTTCTTCCTCTGTGGTGCGAGCCCCGTCAGGGCTCCAGATGGGACTGCAGAGGAGGTTGATGAGTTCAAAGCTCCGACCGAAGAAGAAGAAGAGGAGGAAGAAGCATAGAAGAAGAACAGGGTCCACATCAATGCCTTGCTGTTGCCGGCAGTGAAGATCAACCAGGACCTGTCGTCCGATCAGGTCACCCCATACTGTTTTTCGAGTGATTTTTCAAAAATCACCAAGATACCAGGGGCCTCATTTATAAAGTGTGCGTACGCACAAGAGATGACGTACGCCAGTTTCTACGCACTGTTTGCAATTTATAAAATACTAACTTGACGGGAAAACGTGCGGTCTTCCACGCAAACTCTGACCCATGCGTACGCACTAAGCACAAAAACGGTAGAGACGAGAAACTGCAACACTGTTGGCAGAAGCAAGAATGGAGAGAAATATATGGAAATAATACCATNATTATGTGAGATGACGTATGGTGGGGATGGCAGCTCTATGCCCCAATGGTCATTAAAAATAAAATATTAATAAATAAAAAATATTAAAAGATTGGCATCAAAGGACACATAGATTGATAGATATGCAGTTATTAATAACATCTTTAAAAAACAAAGAATTCCCCTTTCCCTCAAAGTTTGCGTGAACCTCATGGCGCCCCCCCGGGGGGTCGGGGCCCCCAGTTTGAAAAACACTGGTCTAGCAGATGCAAGATCGCTGTTCCTCTGCGTAGTGCTATTCCGCTGCATTTGGTCCCGTCAGCTAACTCCACTGAATGTGTCCCTGAAAGGAATGAGTCATCAAAGCTGTAAAACTTTTCAATATTGTTCACGATGTGGGATGTTGCTCCAGCGTCCACCATGATGCCTCTCATCTCTACGTTGTCTGGAGGTCTCCCTCTCTTGTGTGCTTTGCCTTGAAGAATTGGTCTTGTTTGTTGTTTTCCCCCTCTTTCACTTTTCTGACACCATCTTGTCCCCCTTTTTTCTTGCACAGGGATTCTTCGTGTGTGTTATTTTTGCCGTAACCACACCACACTTTTTTGTAACATGTTCTTGCCTTATGCCCTCTTATTCCACATTTGTAGCATATAACGTTAGCATCTTCTTCTTTTCTATTGTTAGCAGACATCCTGCCGGGGCCTCTGCCTTGTCTAACATTAGTTTTCATCACGTTATCTGTGGTGTCTTTTATCCTAAATGTTTCTGCCTTTTCGTATACACGCTGTCTCCTTTTAAAGTCTATGAATGTAACGTTATCTTCATTCTGCGTTACATGAACAGCCATTGTCTTAAAGGTGTCTGGTAGTCCTCCTATCATGGCGATTATGAGTCCGTCGCTCAATGGTCTCACCTGTTTCCCTCAAAGCCGTGATAATGTTCTCCGCCCGTATGAGGTAGTCGGTAACACTTTCGCTGTTTGACATGTGTAGCTTGGTCAACGACGTGTAGAGGTTTTATTTACCCGTCGGTTTATTTCCAGAATAATGTTCTTTCATATAATTAATGTTTCCAAAAGTCATACCTTATCGTCGGTTCCATCGAACAACAAAGCTGTGCGCGAAACTCACGTTGCTCTGCTTCTGCCTCTTGTTAGCACAGCGATGACTTGCTAAAACTAGCTTGTCAGCATTTTGCGTTCTCACGTAGTACGTCGCTTTGCTTGTAATATCTTCCGCCACTTCTTTAACTTATTGGTCCAACATAGTTTGTAGAAGTTCCCGTGTAAATATTTGCGTTAAACTTCTTCCGGAAAACTAACATGAGTTCCAACTTTGCCTGGGCCCATAACCTGTTAACTAAATAAAGTATGCGCAGTCATTTTTTCTTCTCTCATCCATTTATTCAGAGGGAATGAAACCAGCATGGCAGATGCCGCGTAATCAACAAGAGACATATAGCGCTCCACGCTCGTATCATGCTTATGACGTCACACAACGGAGATGTACCATTAAACATGGACGTAAGGATGCTATTGCAAAATAATACTTAAACAATATATACATGTATATCAATATCTATAATTTGGGGCCTTTTTCTACACCCCCCTTTCACAGTTTACTTTGCGAAGCCACGGTCACACTGTGACGCATGCGAGCTACATCACCACTCAGGGCAGAGGGTGAGCAGGGATATGAAGCTACATACCACCTGAGGGCCAAAGGACCTTCTACAGGTGCACCATAAAGAGAGGATCCTGACCTTCCACAGTGCACCATAGAGAGGATCCTGACCTTCTACAGGTGGCTCCATAGAGAGCATCCTGGACCTTCTACAGGTGCTCAATAGAGAAGGATCCTGACTACAGTGCTTCCATAGAGAGGATCCTGACCTTCTACCAGGTGCTCCATAGAGAGCATCGCCTGACCTTCTACAAGGTGCTCCATAGAGGATCCCTGGCGCGGCGGGGGGGGGGGGCTTGAAACATGAATTCCCGCCCGACACACCAAGCAAGCGGTTTGATTGGCCTAGAGCAGCGGTTTTTCAAAACAGTGTGAGGCGGGCGCCTCCCCTGGGGGGCGCCAGAGAGCTTCAGGGGAGGTCGCAGCGGAGACACAAAGAACGGAGAAAAAGATGAGTAAAATTACAAAAATTGCCCACTTGTGGCTGTCTTGGACAGTGAGTTCCCACACCTCGCCCAAAACGCCGCGGCTGTAAAAGTGCTCATTCCACTTCCCCCTACCTGTGTGGAGTTGCAAGGTTTTCCGCATTGGGACTTTTGATAAAAAGCAAGTGCCGGTAGCAGGGCTGCAGCGCAGAGGATGATCTAGCGTTTTATTCCCTGTGTGCATCNAATCATATTGTTTGCTTGATGCAGTTTGAACCAGAGTAGCAGCATGGAGGTCGGATCGTCACCAAAATAAATAAATAAGTGGTCCGAAAAAGGTTCATGACAAAAAAAATACACATAGCCTTCTTCAGGCAGTGTGTTTGTACCGGGGACAGGAGACCCCCCCCTTGATGAGAAACTGTAAGAAATGATCGGGGAATCCCTCCGGAGTGGAGTCATGACGACTGGATCTGAATTATGTTTTTGTATTTGGTGATTTGTGTCCCAGCTGTCGATCAACAGTTTGCGTGGAGGACCGCACG